CTTGACCCCAGCCACCGAGTTCCCCTCCCCAGAAGCAGCCATGGTGACCACCTGCCCACACTTCCCAAGTGATGGTGTCTGTGCCCCCTCAGGTACGTGTTTCACAGGGATGCAGGCTCACTGCTTCACCTCAGATCTTCCCGTCAGCAGTGTAAGCGGAGCAAATTCCCCATCAGGACACTTAAAGCAGCCCCTTTGTGAAGGCTCTAGAGCTGTCCTATGCATACACAGCTCTTTAAGTTTACATTTAAAATAATTAAAATAAAATCATCCATCCCTCAGTTGCACGAGCCATGTTTCGAGTGCTCAGTAGCCATGTGTGGCCAGTGGCTCCTGTATTGGATAGCACAGAGAATATTTCCATCATTGCGGACAGTTCTCCTGGATTCTCTGGAATTCTCTGGAGAATTCCATGCCGTCCATCATTTATCTCTAGCCTGCCTTCAGGGGTGGCTTGGAAGGGCCACGCGCACAGGAACAGAGGCCCAGCTGCATGGGTGAAGCCCTCCTCAGCACGTGCGTGCAGTGGGTCCCCAGCAATAATCATCATCTCCGTCCCCCAGGTCCCCAGAGCTGCCCTTTTACGCAAGGTTGTAGAGTTTTGCTGTCTGATATGGGTCTCGTGTCTCAGCCCTGCCAGTCAACCCTCCTCTCCTGGAACCTGATTTCCTAGAGGCCTCAGCTTTTAAAGGAAAGGGTTTCCCTGACCAGGAGCTTAATCATCCTCCTTGCCAGGTCATTCAGTCATTTGACAAACCTTTGGGGGCCTGCCCTACACATGCCCTGACGTGGAGGTGGAGTCCGTGAAGCCCCTGACCTGAGTGAGTCAGAGAGAGCCATAAGTGAGTCATTTCAGGCATGTGTAGAGGCAGAATGCCTAGGCTAGGCTGTGAGATCAGTATGGGCTTCCTGGAGGAGGTGATAGCTGAGCCAAACCCTGAAGGAAACAAGGGTGACCTGGAGGTTTGAGAGCTGTGAGGAGCCCACAGTCATAGGCCACAGGGCCAGTGGGTGCTATCATAGGGCCAGGTCAGGCTGGGCCGCCAGGTCCAACACAAAAACATGAGGCTGGCACTGGGGGGCCCGGAAGGGGCTGGCGCAGTGGAATGTGAGCAGCGACTGGGATGGAGAGGATGTGGGGAAAGGCTGGGTGAGTTCAGCTGTTGGCAATTTCACGCCATCTCCTTAGCCACTTCTTGGGGACAGGCCCTGGCCATGGGGCCCAGGTGCCGATGAAGGTCAGATTTCGGTAGCCAGAGAATAAAAGGAGATTTCCTCCGGGGGTGGGGGGGCTCTCTCCCCCAGAGGGAGCTGCAGCTGCCTCACACACATACTCTGGGATTAGGCTAAATCCTACAGCAGGTGGAGGGGTGGGAAGAAGGCTCCCAGTTAGGGTCCCAGAGTGTGGGAAGGGCAGGCAGTGGTGCACACCTGAGTGTGTCTGGACCTGCAAATGAGTCTCCTCCGTCCCTTCATCCAACTCTTTACTGGCCTCAGTTCTGCCCTGGGTGGGAGTTGGCAGGGCAAGGACAGTAACCACTAAACTGGATCAAGGGCCGCAAAATAAGGGAGGTGGGCGATGCAAGAAGACTCAGAAAATGGGGGCAGTTTCCCTGGGGAGCAGGAGAGTGGGCACAACCTGAGACCTTTTGTGCCATCGAAGTCTTTGTTTCTGTCATTTCAATCACGAACACAAAATGCCTTTTTCGAAACATGGTTTTCAATGTCTGGTCCCAGACCAGTGGCAGCCGCATTCCCCGGGGACTTGTTAGAAATGCAGATTTCCAAGCTTAACTTCAAGCCTACCAAATACAAAATTCTGGGGTGGGACCCAGTGATCCAGGCTGCCTGCCCCCACCAACCCTGAGGGACTCTGAAATATGTGAAAATTTTAGAACTACTGCTTGAAAAACTCAAAGCAGTGCTTGCTTCCCGGGAATCACAGGTTGGGGGCAGGAGACCCTTGACAGCATCCTTCTCTACAGCAAAGAGAGCCTCTGAATAGGGGGGCTCAGTGTGAACGGGGGACCCCACCAAGGGGAGGCTGCCCCGAGAAAAGAGGTTTGAGTGAGAGCTAAAGAGCGGGTGGGGCTTGGCTGGGTTAGGAGGGAAGAGGAGTGACCCCAGGAAGGAACAGCCTGTGTGAGGGACCTGCGGTGCAGGGATGGAGGCCATAGGGCTGGAGCTCAAAATGCTGGGCCCTGCACATCTGTGCTTGAGTGTCATGAATGTCCGTCCTTCGGTGGGTGTGGACATTCCATTAACAGATGTCCCCTGCTTCATGGACACCCAGAGCCTCTCCTGGTCCTGGAAATGGCTGGGCCCCCAGGGCTCTGGGAATGAGCCCTGCAGTGGGACAGGCACCTGGTCCCGAGCCCACTTGCCCCCTATGTAACCTCGGGCCAGCCACTTCCTCTTTCTGAGCCTCAGTGTCCCCATCTGGGCAATGGGGACAAGAATGCCTTCCTGCGAAGGGCTGCCATGAGAAGGAAATGCGATCATGGCCAGCCGGCCCTGGGGGGCATTCCCCCTTAATCCCTGTGCAGCAACAGGCGATTTTGACTGAGCGTTGACAACCACTCCCGAGGCATGCTGTCATTCCTGTGTTTCAGGCTCAGAGAGGGTAACTTCGGTCACAGCCTCCCCCGCCCCCCCATATACAAACACACTGTGGCCAGCGTGCCCCTCCCTCCCAGGCGCTGATTCCCTCCCAGCAGCCTCCTGCCCCTTGGCTCTAGCTTCCCAGACCCGAGTGACTGTATATCTGTTGCTCCCAGCAGAGCCTTGACTGACACAAGTAGCCAGCAAGTGGCAGAGTCTGGAGGGGACCCAGTGCTTTCCCTACAGGCTCCCAAGGCAGCCGATATCATGGCGGCTCGGAAGCTGCTCAGAACCCAGGCAGCCCAAGGGGGTTCTGGCTCCACGTGCTGCCACGCTGCCCAGAGCAGGCTCGGGGGAGGGCAGATGGAGCAGTGAATGAGTCGCATCTGTCTCATTCTGACATGGGATGTCAGGAATGTAGAAGGGCCCCAGTGAGCGCGTGCCTGCCAGGGATGCTGGCAGGGAGGAGGCACAGGCTGGGCAGCTGAGCCCCTCTTGGTCTTCAGGACCTACCAGGCAGCAGCTGCCCCTGTCGCTCTGATGGGTCTCCCTTGTGTGCAGGACCTGCCGGGAACCTGGGATCTGGGGCGGGGGTGGAGGTCAACTCAGCTTCTTCCTTAGAGCTGAGTCATCCTTGTGACCCTAGGCCCATCACACCCTCAGCTTCTCTACCATTAAATTGGGGAAACTAACTCTTATCTGGTAGTGGGCTTATGGTGGCCAAGTGGAAACTGCGGGCTCTTATTCGTCACCCTTGCTCCTTGTACACTGTTGTAGCCTCTGAGCCCTTTTGCTCCCCAGCTGGGCTCTGAGGGATCTGCCTCTCCTGTGATTGACTAGGCTGGTGAAGGACACAGTCACTGGCCAGTGACCCCAGTGGGAGACTGGGGCTCCGTCAGAAAGTTTGGGGGGGGTTCCAGGGACCCAGAGGGGGGCTCTTGAGTGCAGGAGGAGCAGAAGCCAAGAGCTGCTTTTGGAAGCTGCCTGTGGAGCCGCCTACAAGGGAAGGGGAGGGAAGGGGATGGAGAAGACCTTGGGTTGGGAGGGGGACACTCAGGTGCAAAGACCACACACCAGTCCTCAGGGAAACACTCAGCATCACCCATGTGAACTCTGCAGGAGGCTTTCCTCAAGCATATGCCCATCCAAGACACATTTCATCCTAAACCCTAAGCCCTGGGAGGTAGGCAAGGCAGGAGCGCTCCACTCAAATGGGCAGAGAAGGCGATGAGAGCACTGGCCCTGGGACACTGGCTTTGGACTTTCTGGCTCCAAGTCCAGTGTTCTATCCGCCCATTAGGGAATAGGGCTCCTGGGGGAAAGGAAGCGGTCAGGGATGACTCCCTGGGTTTTGGCCCCGTGCCTTCTCTAAGATGTGGGGTCCTGGAAGTGCAGTTTTGGGGGAAGATGAGCAGTTCAATTTGGGACATGGTGAATCAGAGAGGGCACATGGTGCGGGTGTGAGGAGACCCGGAGCAGGAGGAGAAGCATGGCCATGAGTGGCTGCTGTCTTGCAGGATGGCCCCCGTCCCAAATCCTCATATCCAGTCCCTTCTGACCCTGTACATACTTTCAGCCACCCCCTCAGCGAGGGGACAATCTAGGCAGCCTCCACAAAGGGTCTGTCCTGGATGGGGACTCCTATTCCAGGACAGGGCAGGAGACAGCTCCAGGCGCTGGGTCAGGTACCTCCTCCTTGTGGTTTAGGGGCTGAAGAGCAGAGTAACCGCTGGAATGGAGTTGGAGAAGGTTCCAGGCTCGGAGCCCTGGGAATCTGATCCCTCCACCCACCCTCCAGAGGGTGCTTGAGAACAGGGCCATGACGGCCTCCCCAGGGGAGGCCCAGGCAGGCAGAGACAGCTGCAGCCCAGCCAGGCGGCAACCAGCTGCTGCCTGGGAGGCCGGCCAGGGTAGGGTGGGGCGGGGGGGGCGGGCACAGTCCCCGCAAGCCCCCAGCCTGAGCGGCAGAGCGTGGGAGCGGGAGCGGGCAGCAGCCTCGAGGCTGAGTTTCAGGCTTTCACGCTGTGTTAACGGTCAGCTTGGTTAATGCTGAGCAGATGGGGGAGGGTGCTGCTAGCTCCCTCAGGGATAGTCCCAGGGCAGGCACACACGTACGCATGTGCAGAGGATGCGGGAGTCCCGCCCAGTGAATGGTGTTGCGTGGACACCTCTGTCCATTAGAGCTCCTTCACACCATCACGTATACAAGATGTGCTGGTGAGACAGACAGACCAAGACAGAGGTGCACGCAGGCTCCTGGGGCCACCTCAGCAGCTGGAGGCAGACGGAAACCCCGGGAGCCCTCAGCCTGTGTCACCCAGGCAACACTCCCAGGTCAGGGATTGCGCCACCCTGTTCCCCCTCCATCCGCTGCAGGGAAGATACCAGGCACACAGAGGTTTATTTCAAAAAAAATAATTTATAAAAGGCCATTTGCTTCTGTGTTTTGGGCAGGCTTCCAGCCTCTCAGCTCGCACAGGGGCAAGCGCTCCTCCCACCAAGATGCTGGCACAAGCAGCAGAGGGGAGGCAGGAGAGGCAGGGGAGGCCTGGAGAAACGGGTTCAGAGACCCAAGACCTCTCCTGGTGTAGGGAAGCAGGGAGGTTTAGGGCAGCCCTGCAGCCGGGTCCAACCGAAGCCCTAGAACAAGGACCCAGCGCCAGGGCCCAGGAGGCCAGCAGAAGCCATTAGAACCCTGGGGCCATGACTCTGAGGCAAGGGCAGGACCTTGAAACTGGGGCTGAATGCTGGTTTGAAAACCCAAGGCCAGAGCAGAAAGTTTCAACTGGGGACCCCAGGACCAAGGACGGACCTCCCCAAAGCAGAACCAGAGATCTGAGACGGGACCCTTAGGTCAGGGCCCGGGGCTGCCAGGTTGCAGCTGAGCCAGGGGGCCCGAGGCCGCCAGCCGGCCTGCCCGTACAGGCTTGTGTCCCTGCTCACGTCTGCACCCCAGGAAAGAAGGAGCTGGGCCCCAGTGGCAGGGGCTCGTGGCTGAAGACAGAGTCATTGGAGGAGCAGGTGCTGCTGGCGTCCCCACCGGCGGGGGAGTAGGGTCCAAAGGTTAGGCGGAGGTCGAGGTACTATGGGGAAGAGCGCGCGTCAGTCCTGGGAGCAGCAGGGTTAAGGCCCAGAGGGGAGTCGGCAGGGAGTCATGGGACAATAGGGGAGAGGTACCTCCTCAGACACGGCCAGCAGGACCTTGTCCAGCGCCTCCACCAGCTGCTTGAAGGTGGGTCTCTGAGAGGGTGCCGCGTGCCAGCACTCCCGCATCAGCCCATACCTGGGAGAGGTGGGAGAGGGTCAGAAGGAGCCCGAGGCCTGGGTGAGTTAAGGACCTCCCAGCCCTGGGTTGGGGCAGTGATGAAGGGCTGGGGTTTGATTCAGTATAAATGAGGCCATTCAGTGGAACATGCAGAAGCCAGGCCAGGACCTCCCCCCTGGGCTGAGGAGGTGGCGACAGGGAATTAGTGCCGACCACTCCCTGTGGCCAGATCCTGAGGCCATGGTCAGGGCAGAGGATGAGGACTGGAAAGTGGAGGAGAGTGGGGTGAGGCCTCACAGCTCTGGGGGGCAGTGTGGGGGCCGGTCCATCCGATGCCCCTCCCGTAGCAGTGAGAACAGCTCCTCCACGGGAATGCCAGGGTACGGGGAGCCCCCGAGGGTGAAGATCTCCCACAGCAGGATCCCAAATGACCACCTGCAGGCAGAGACCAGGCTCAGTAGCGCAGTTTCACTTCCTACCCCTGGGATAGGCTGGGGGGCCCCGCAGGCATGATCAACCACGGGGGTGGGGATTAGGGCTTCTTTTAGAGTCTCGTCCCATTCAGGTCCCAGGGCTGTGTGACCCCAGGCAAGGACAACAATCACTGGCAGACACCCCAGGCCCCAGCTTCTGGAACTCACACATCACTCTGGTGTGTGTAGACTCTGTCAAACAAGGCCTCAGGGGCCATCCACTTGACAGGCAGGCGGCCCTGGAGGGGAGGAGAGGGCACACTGCTGCCGAGACCCACAGGTCCCGGGCCCCTGACCCCACCCAGCTCTGCGCTTCCTCCCTCCCTTACATTGCTGGTTTTCTTGTAGTAGTCAATGTGGTGAATGCCACGGGCCAGCCCAAAGTCAGCGATCTTCATCACGTTGTCCTCTGTCACCAGCACGTTACGGGCAGCCAGGTCCCGGTGGATGCACTGGAGGCAGGGCAGAGGACGAGCAGGGGTCTTAGGATTATGAGGACATACAGCTGAGAGCCACCTCACAGTAAACCGGGTGATAGGGATCATCCACCCATTTTACAGATGAGGAAGTCAAGATTCAGAGAGGAGAAACCTAAGCCAGCTGACCTCAGGGCCCACACCCTCTCTTGCATCACCTCTTCCTGCCTAAGGGTTAGGGATTTTGTAAGGAAGGAATGGGGACAGGCGGTGTCAATTGCATATGGATGAGGGGTACAGGAGGGCTTAGGGACACTTAGGGTTATGAGAAAGTGGAGAAAGGGAGAAGTTGGGGACATTTAAAGCAAGGGCATGAAAGTGTGGAGATGGAGCAGATGGAGCAGATGGAGCAGTCCAGCGTGCTGCCTGCTGCCCGTACTTTCCGCGACTCCAGGTATTGCATGCCTCGGGCCACCTGGTAGGCGCAGGAGACCAGGGCAGGGAAGGAGAGTGGCCCCTCACTGCTCCGAGGCCCGTCGGGGCTGAGGTCAGGGCCTTGGGGGCGGCGGGCCCGCAGGAACTCCCGCAGGTTTCCCTTGGCGGCACACTCCACAATTACGTACAGGGGCCCTACAGGGGGTGGGGGGACAGGGAAGCTGCTGGAGCTGTGGCTCCATGCCCCAACCGTCCTCACCCCTAGCCCTGCCCCGCCCCACCTTCCTGGGTGCAGACACCCAGCAGGTTGATAATGTTCTTGTGTCGGCCAATCAGCTTCATCACCTCCATCTCAGAGACCAGGTCTGCCAGGTCCTTGTCGGAGGCGTTGTCTGCAAGGATGACAGCCAGGGTGACTATGCAAGGGAGGCTACACGTCGGGGACGGGACACGGCGCCATGGCCCCGGAGTCAGAAAGGTCTGAGCCTGAATCTCCACTAGGCTATGTGGCCTTGAAAGTCTCTTAACCTCAGGATCCTCTTGTATGAAATTGGACCATGGCTCATGCCCTAACTCTCCTAGCAGTTGCAAGGATGCAACAAGATTAAGGATCTAGAAGAAGTAGGCCTGGCAGTGAGTGGGACCGGGAAACAGAAGAGAGGGGGAAGAGCTCTGAACAGGAAGGAAGCTCTGTCTGCAGGGCCTGGCGCTAGTCCCTGAATGGAGTGAGAGCTCCTGGGGGCGGGAAGTGGGCTGGCGCCCCGAGGTCTGTCTGACCAGGGCCTGGCGTCCATCTGGCCTGGGAATTCAGGGAGCTGTCAGTGGGGCGCAGCTAGGGGAGGCCAGGAAGAAACTGCTTCAGCTTCTCTTGAGAAGACTAAGGACCAGGGGCTGCCTCCGGGGCTGACCCGTGGCCCTGGGCCAATGACTGCCCTCCCCACCAGACCTCACAATGCACATTTCTCAATCCCTGCCTCCCAGAAAGTGCCAGGTGGCCCCAGCTGTGCAGAGAGGAGGGGCCTGGGGGGAGCAGAACAGTAGTTTGGGCCGTTCTTCTAGATGGGGCTGGGGGACAGCAGCGAGAGGCCCCGAGAGTGGGTCCCAGGTGTGTTCTGAGCACCTGGGGCTGCTGCATGGGCTGTTCTCCGACAGTAGTGGACACAGGGGGACAGACCCGGGAAGGGCCCAGGGGGAGGCTGAGGCTGTGACTTGGGAAGGGAGTCATGGGGGAATGAGGTGAGGCCTTCGAGGCTGATAT